CGGGCGGCTCCGTCCCCGCCGCTCGGCCGGCCGCCACCCGACGTCCTGGTAGAAATTCAGATTCTCGGGCCCCACTGGACCCGCTGAGCCAGAGCCTGCGCCTCAGCAGCATCACCAGGTGATCTGTGGGCACCTTAGTGTTGCCCAGCTGCCCGAGGTGGGCGTTACCCCGCTTTGCGGCGGGGGGCGCTCAAGGACCCATGCCTAGTAAACGGCCAAGCGGGATTCGAACCCAGTCTTCTCACTCTAAAACCTGTCGCTACCCTGCCCCCACCGCCTTCCCAGACGAAGACAAACAGGAAACTGATCCAGAAAAGGGGGGTCTCCGCGGGCTCCACCTCCAAAGGACAAAGTTCTAACCACCTCGGGAGTGTGTTCAAGGCACAGTGACCGACACGCCCACCCTGGGTTGGCAGTTGCTGCCACCGTGGACCATCGCCCTTGCCAGGCTGTGTGCGACCCTCAGCCCTCCCAGGGACAGGCCACAGAGTGGACCCTGGAGCCCCGAGCGCTGCCTGTGGGGCCAGGCGGTGATGGGCAGGTCACGCACCCAGCCTACACCCACTGCTGCCTGGAACTTCAAAGATGCTGAGCCCACTGCTCAGCAGGCGGCCTGATGCGTCACAGTCCCTGCCAGCCATCGCCTGGGGGTGCGGGGCTGGAAGGGTGTCCACAGGATGCCTTGGGACTGGGGGTGAGGGGAGGCCTGGGACAGCAGGGCAGGAAGCGCTGGCTCACGGGTAGGAAGCTGCAGAAGCAGAACCATAGGGGTGAGCACAGAGTTCAGGACAGGACAGGGAGTGTGGCTGGACTGGGGCGCAGGGGACACCCTGTCCCTGGACGGAAAAGCAGGCCAGGTCCCACCAGCTTTGACTGCTATGCTAAAGGCTTCAGACTGGATGCCACAGGAGAGGGGAGCCACAGTGAGCCCTAAAGCAGGAGCCAGGAGCCCCCCTCCCCCAGTCCCCCAGAGTCTCCCCTCCTGCGGGCTCCAGTCCTCCGGTTCTGGGAGAGGAAGTCAGCAGAGAAACCACAGGGCCCCACCTGCAAGGGGCTGCTGGGAAAGGAAGTGAGACAGGTGCGAGGTCTGGGTGGGTCAGGGGGGGTTCAAACCACAGAGTTTCAATGTGGGGGACCACGGCCCAGGAGGAGGTGAGAGGCAGAGAGTAGATGAGGGGCCTCTGGACCCGGATACTTGGTCACTAAGACAACAGATTGTGTGGCCGGCAGGCCAGGGCTCAGTCCTGCTCGGCCACTCAGCACAGTCTCAGCGAGGTGTCAGCCAGACACTTGGGCTCAGGGTTGTAAGTGACTCAAGGGGAACACTTAGAAAAGTGGCTCTGGGCCATTGTTGATGGAGCCTCCCTGCCCCCCACCCCTTCCCTCAGAGCTGCTGGGGCTGGGGCAGACCTCAGCTGTGCCCACCAGCACCATGGCCAACCTCATCTCTGGTGAGCGAGGGGTAACTTCTGTTTGCCCTCCAGGTCCTCCCTCCATGCTTCTCCCCTTTGTGCTGGGGGCTGTGGCGACATCAGTGGGGTCCCGAGCCTTCTGGATGTTTGCTGGGGTCAACTAGTGAGACCCCTGGCAGGAGAGGAGGAGAGGCCAGTGTGCCCCTGCCCCTCGCCAGCTCCGTCCTGGAAGGGTGTCCCCGAGCCACGCAGGCAGCCCTCTCCACACTTCTGTCTCCAGTTTCCCGTAAGCGCCCTCTCACCTCTCTCGGCCTGGGGGTCCTGTGCCCACCCCTGCTGACTTCCCTACACTGCCACACCTTTGTAGGCTGTCCCTTTATTAAACTCTCTGGTTTTCCAGTTTACCTGTGCCCTCTGTTTCCTGCTGGGGCCCAATTAATGCCTATTCCCTGGCTACTGGTCCCCAAGGGTGCAGGTGATGCTCTGCAGGTGGCCTCAGGGCACAGGGGTGCCAGCTATGCAGGGCCCTGCGATTCACAGGATGGTCCTAGCTGTGTGCAGTTATTTAATGGGACAGGTTTCCAGCACATGGCAGTGAGGTGTCCTGAAAGGGTGCTGTTCCCTAATGGCATGAGGCCCATGGGAGTCAGCTGTGGCCCTGGAGCGGGCTGGCCTAGCTAGGCGGGGCAGATGAGCACCTTGGGACTGTGACAACACTGCCCCCCACCTGTCACTTCAGGCACTGGGGCTCCCAGCTCTTCCTTGGGCAGGAATGCCACCTCCGCGCCAGTGAGCAGGGAGGGGTGGCTCAGCTAAAGACCCGGCACCCCTGCCCCGGGGCCAGTGCAGGGCGCTCGGCACTTCCGGCGGGAACCTGCTTCCCAAGCACTAGGCTGGGACCCGGGACGGCTCCCCAGGCGGGGGAGGAGAGCCCTTCCCAGACTGACCGCGCGGGGGCAGCCGAGGCTCAGGCCAGCCTCCCGACACCTGCCGAGCCCTGCGCTCTGCTGCCCCCTAGCGGGCACCCGGAGCACTGGGCGCTCGGGCGGGAGGGACAGCGAGCACCCTCTCCCTAGCTGGGATGTCTGTGCCCGCGGCCCTGGCACAGAGGGAAAGCTCCACGACGCAGAGCTGGGAAGGAGCAACGGGACAGAGGTAAGAAGTGCCCCAGGACCCCTGGGCCTGATCCTCCATCCCCCCCACCCCCCTGCAGATAGCGTGCACTCCCACCCCCTCCCAGACCTGCCCAAGGGCGCCCTGGACCTGGATGGGTGGGGACACATGTCCACATGGAGCTGGGACAGAGCTCCGGCCCTGCACTGTCTGAGCCGTGGGTGCTTACGGTCTATGGTGAAAACTTTTGAGAAGGAAAGGCTTACACCTCACCCAGCAGAAGCTGATTTATTTCAGGGCCACTGGCACAGTGTTGGAGTGACATGGAATGGAAATGCTAACTCATCAACAGGAAGGGAAGCCCCCACACAACCCCCAGCTTAGTCCCCAGTGGGACCCCCAAGATGGTGCCAGCCCCTGTGCCCCCAGGAGCTTCCTGTAACCTTTAAAACAATAAGGGGAGATAGGGAAGGGGGAAGACCAAGGCAAGAGAGGCCACCATCCCTCCCAGCACACACCCCAGGCTCAGGAAGGCCCCAAAATGGGGCTGCTTGGGGTTTTGGGTATCACAAAACTCATGGGGACCCCCAAACATCTGCCTTTGCTAGCAAGAGCAGCCTGGATTCTGGCCCCCAGCCCCTGCCCACCCTCAGGCCCCCTCCCAGCCAGGACTCCAGTCAAGCCTGCGGAACAGGGTGCCCAAGATGCAAAGGGAAACTGAGCCCCTTTCCCTGCCCCTGCCTGCCTGGGACTCAGATGATCACAGAGTGGGGGACACCCGGCTGCCTGCTCAGGCTGAGGGCCCGGGCTGCCACCAGCAGGAGGACACCACCGAGTGCCTCAAAGGCACAGGAGCCCCAGGCCAGGGCCACGGACCAGCCAAAGCGGATGCTTAACGTCCTGCACATGCCCCAGGCCATACTGGCGGGCTGTCTCGGCGAAGGCCAGGTGCGAGTAGCTGATGTAGACGATGACCCCTGCCAGGGTCAGGGCGCCTAGGGAGGAGGCAGGGTGACCACTCAGTGTGCCACCTCACCTCCTCTGGCCGGAGCCTGAGTGCCCCCAGAAGCCCTCTCCGGGCCCCAGGGCCAAGTTTCAGGCCCTGCTTCTCCGCCCTTGCCCTGAGGACTCCCCCTCCCTGTGCCTCGGCAGTCAGCTTTCTTCAAGACAGTAAGATTAGGGGCACACGTGCTACGTGGCCCTTCATCCAGCCATCCAGAGGCAATCAAAGAGCAGGGCACTGGGACATTTTCCTGTCCATTTGGTCTCAGAAGGACCAGCCCTGAGAGCCACCCCCCACACACAGATGCAGGCTGACGTCACAGCCCACCCCGGTGCCAACTGTGGGAAATCTGGGC